AGGTGAGCCGTCTGGAGTGTGGAAACTGTTTATGACGATTAGATTAAGGTATCTGCATTCCTAAAATTCTATGGGAAGGGAGGAAAACAGGTCCGCGACGTAGGAATTGCTGAAGGAAGTTGTAAAGGCGAGCAGTCTGGAGTGTGGAAACTGTTTATGACGATTAGATTAAGGTATCTGCATTCCTCAAATTCCATGGGAAGGGAGGAAAACAGGTCCGCGACGTAGGAAGTGGTGAAGGAAGTAGTCAAGGCGAGCTGTCCGTAGTGTGGGAACTGTTTATGACGATTAGATTAAGGTATCTGCATTCCTAAAATTCTATGGGAAGAGAGTAAAACAGGTCCGCGACGTAGGAAGTAGTGAAGGAAGTAGTCAAGGCGAGCTGTCCGGAGTGTGGGAACTGTTTATGACGATTAGATTAAGGTATCTGCAATCTTAAAATGCTATCGGAAGGGAAGGAAACAGGTCCACGACGTGGTGAAGGAAGTAGTAAAGGCGAGCTGTTCGGGTTGTGGGATCTGTTTGTGACCATTAGACTAAGGTATTTGCAATCCTATGATGCTATGGGAAGGGAGGGAAACAGGTCCGTGACGTAGGAAGTGGCGAAGGAAGTAGTAAAGGCAAGCAGTCCGGACTGTGGGAACTGTTTGTGACCATTAGATTAGGGTATCTGTAATCCTAAAATGCTATGGGAAGGGGGGAAAACAGGTCCGCGATGTAGGAAGTGGTGAAGGAAGTAGTAAAGGCGAGTTTTTCGGAGTGTGGGATCTGTTCATGACGATTAGTTTAAGGTATCTACAATCTTAAAATGCTATGGGAAGAGAGGGAAACAGTTCCGCGACGTAGGAAGAGGTGAAAGAAGTAGTAAGGTGAGCAGTGTGGAGTGTGGGAACTGGAAACCGTTTGTAGCAGTTTTAATGTATCTGCAATGCTGAAATGCTATGAGAAGGGATGGAAGCATGCCCACGACGGAAATAGTGAAAGAAGTAGTAAAGGCTATCAGTACAGGGGTGTGGGAATGTTTGTGGCAATTAGATTAACGTATCTAAAATACTAAAATCCTATGGAAAGTTATGAATACAGGTCCACGACGTAGGATGTGGCTTGGGAAGTAGTATTAAAGTATGAGCATCAGCATAGTGTAAGATCCGTCTGTGACAGTTAGATTAATGTATATTCAATACTAAAATGCTATGAGAAGGGGAGGAAACAGGCCCCACGACGTGGGAAGTGGTGAAGGAAGTAGTAAAGGCTGGCAGTGCAGAGTGAACCATTTGGGCAGTTAGATAAATAATGTATCTGTAATACTTAAATGCTATGAGAAAGGAAGGAAACAGGTCTATGACATAGTAAATGGTGAAGGGAGTAGTAAGGCTAGCAGTGCAGAGTGTGGGAACTGTCTTTGGCAATTACATTAATGTATCTGCAATCCTAAAATGCTATGAGAAGAGAGGGAAACAGGTCCACGTGTAAAGTTCTTTTATCTTTCATTTGGTAAATAAATGTCCAAGGTGATGAATACATATAAACCTTTTATTAGTCAAATTGTACAAATAAGTAGGGTTATAAATTTAGATGAAACTCATAATCTCAGGGTACTAGGAATGTGCCGGCTTAAAGTAGGCTTATGTGATGTTGTATAGGCATAAGCCTAATGTTCATCACAAGTTATGTACAGTTCAATTTACACTTTTGAATAGAAGAAAGTTCAAATTTTGAATTTAGTAAAATTATAATTTAGGTAAAAGTTCAAAATGGCAAAAGCCAATAGAAATTTTGGAATGTGAGTATTTAGCAAAGTACAAGTTCAGTTTGATCTCACCCAAAAGTTTTGGTAGTCTTCTCCACAAATATATTTCTTGAGGTAAAATGATATGTATTAAATAATTGAGAAAAATCTTGATATTTTAAATACTGTAAAGTTAAATCACCAATTAAAAGTTTTAAACAATCTTCCTGTCTTGCTTCTTCATTACTTATTCTCAATTGAATAAATCTTGATATTGATGTTCAATTTCATACATCTGTTTCAACAATTAGTTCACTGGTTTCTTGATGTCACTATTCACTGTTACTTTTATAATTGGTTGGTATTATATGAAGAGTATTTTAATTATATTTTTGAAAGTGAAAGAGAAAAATAATTTTGTAAAATAATTCAAACTGTATAAATAACTTCCAGTGATTATAAATTTAGCTTATTAAATAAATGACAGTGTTTGATGAGAATGTGAAATATAGAAATTTACAATAGGTGGAACCTTTTGCCCTTTTACTGCATGTAAACACATGTGATAATTTAGAGGTATGAATTTAGCTAATAGTAGGCCTAGGAATATACAAATTCAAAAGTAAACAATGAGGATAATTTTGGAACATCTCAAATATCCCCTCAGAAATCTGGTATTTGAGTATCCAATACTAGATTTCGAATAATGTGAACAAAATTATCATATAAAACATTAATATTTGAACAGGAAAATACTGAAAATTAACAAGTTGTATCTTCTGAATAAGAGAAAACATAATAATGAACAAGGTGAAACAAAGAAAAGTTGATAAGTCATTGGGAGATTAATGAGATATAAAAATTCACTTGAATAGATCAATGTGAAAAGAATGATATTATATATAATATTTACAATTAGGTCATGAATAAACTTGACAGGTTTGTGTTGATTAGATCTCCTCATTGATCGGAGGTAGGTAATGCTTGAGTGCAGAAACATGGTATAGTCCAAGTTCTTGTTCTTCGGATTCTTCATTTGGAATTTAGTTGGTTCCTTTACTTCAAGGCGATGCTGGTATTTGTTACATAATCCTGGAGCGTCCGAAAATGTATCTTGATATTTGAGGAGTAAATTGACAAGTTGACTTTTCTGTTCGGTGTCTAGTAGTTGGTTTTGTTCAATAGTATCAGCTATAGTGTCAGAATCAATTGTGAGTTTTGGTGTATTGGAGTGGTGTAATGTACCATAATTATCATATTTATTTAGTATATGATTTTCATGTGAATTTTCATCATAATCATATATATATCATCATAATCATCATCGTTGTTGTTCATTAAATAGCACAAAATTCCTTCATAATAATTCCCGTCAAACTTCAATAACATGTCATTGTTATTTATATTCAAGTTTATTATATTGTCATTAAAGTTTATTGTCATTTTCCATAATTTAATTGTATCCATTCCTAATATAAGATTGTGTACTAAGTTAGGTACCATGATAAATTGTAAAGTACTTTTTACACCATTAATACTGACATTCATAAGTAGTATTTTCGAAACTCGTTTAGATTTTTCGCCAACTGCGGTCTTTATATGAACACCTGTCAGGGGTAACTCTTCGAATTGTCCTAGTTTCGTTTTATTTTCTAATATCCATTGTTCAGATATACAAGTTATATTTGCTCCTGTATCTAAAAGAGCTGTGGTTGGTACATTATTTACAAATAGACTAATTTCAGGACATTTGTAAGTATTATTAGAATTTTCAAGAAAATTATTTGTGTCCTTTAAGTCATCTTGGAGTAAGAAATTCCGATCACACATAATATTGCTAATGTTGGTTAAATTTTCAAATTTGTTCTCAAAGTTATATACAGGTTTAGGCCGTAAAATTCCGATTTTTTGAATAAGCACTGAAGAATCGTTTGATGGTGAAAGAGGTGTAAACAATGAGGAAAGTTGATTCTGGGCCTTTGGTTCATCAGTGCTTCCTAGTTTAAAGCCTGATGATTTGGATTTATATAATTGATAGTTCCGGTAGTAGGGTTGTTTTTGTCTATAATTGCAGAACATACTTGGGACTGTTCTTGAGACGGGTACTGACGTTCTTCACGGTGTGGTGGGTTGGTGTTGTAGTTTGGTCTCTGGGAGTTGTAGTTTCCTCTTCCTCTGGAATTATAATCTTTCCTGTAGATGTTCTGTTGTCCACTGCTGTAGTTCTGTGGTTGACTGTATCCCCTCGAAGACTGGTTGTAAGAGCCATGGTTGTACTGCTGGTTCGGGCGAGGTGGACTGTTTGGCTGTCTGTTTGGCTGGTAGTGGTTACGATTACCCTGTTGGTTACTGTAATTGTGAGTACGTGGGTGTGATGGTTCATAGCGGTTGGACTTTGAAGTCATGGTCCGTTGGTGAGCGTCTTTGAGGTCCTCTCGTTGTAATAGCAGCTCAAACTCGTGTACCGTGGTGACATTCTGGACTCGTCTGGCATCTTGTACTAATTCCGAAAAATGGTCGGACAGGATTATAACGATTTCTTCATCGGTCAAAGGAGGTGTTATCGACCTTAGTGTCAAGACCTTCTCTATAAAATATTCGGCTCTTGATAGTCTGCCATCCTGTCGATACTTTTCAACATTGATTCTTTGCTTGATACCACGTTGAACCTCGTGACTCCAAAATTTGTTCAAAAACATTGCCTCGAAATCGGTCCAATTTTTTATTTGATATTTGACCAACTCAAACCATTTAGATGCGTGGTGGTCAAGACATTGTTCAATTACATCCAATAAATGTTCAGACTCATCGTTTGATTTCTGATTGTCAACATTCCGTTCGTAAAAACGTTTAAGCTTACTCAAAAATTCTTTTGGATTTTGTGTCTTTCCGTGAAATTTAGGTGGGTTAATGTCTAGATAATTTCTGTTAGTTCCCGGACAAGTAACATAAAGAGGCGTTAGTGTACTAGTTGATTTGGACATCTGTTGTTCCATGTTATTAATTCGATAACTATGGTTGTCTGTTATTGAATTTAGTTTGACCAAGTTCTCGTTCTGTCCTTCGATTTTAGTAACTAAATCGTCATTTTGTTGTTTTAGGTTATTTTGGCATATATTTATCTGTTGTTGCAATTTAGAATCAAAATTTCGGGTTAGGTTATTGCTCAAAGTAGCAATATTTTGATCAATAGTGATCTGATTAGTCTCAATTTTAGTATTTAATTCATTACGGATTTCTTGAGATTTAATTTCGATCTTTTTGTCAACATTCATTCAATAGTATTTATTTTGAGTGAGTGTTCAGATAAGGTATTGTGGATAGCTTCAATTTCAGACTTTACGGTTTGAACATCTGATTTGAGATTAGTTATTTCGTGAGAAATAGCATTTACGTTATTTTCTATGGATTTAATATCCTTTTGAAGGTCATATCGCATCAAACTAATATTTTGGTTGAGTTCATTTTTGAGATCATTTAAGCGTATATCACTGTCTTGTTTGATTGTGTTCATATTTTGGTTTACTAGATTTATGTCTTGTTTCAGTTCACGAAACAAATATGTAATTTGTGTTAGGATGTTGGAATCATTAGTGTTGCCGATCGGCTGGTGTGACTCATTCATTGGATTGGTCAGTGAGCCAGTTTTGTTTGGTTCATTCAACTGCAGATCAGCTGTTTCGTCGTTCTGGTCGCTGGGAGTAGTACACATTTTGTCACGTGACGTCATACTGCCTTTTTCTGTCTGACGATCCAGATCCGCCATCTTGATCTTAGGATTAGAACCAGAACCTACACTGTCGTTAACCTCAATAACGTCTGTTTCTAATGGATTTCTATCGATTTCCAGTCCATGAAAGAGAACTGATTCTGGGATTTCTCCAAATAAAATATTATGATAATTGTTACTTGTTTCAACATTATTTGTAGTGTCTATAGTTACTAGTGTATTTGAATGTGTTTCGTTGGTTAGAGTTGCTTGACTAGAATGTACGGTGTTGCTTACGGCATCTTGGTTGCTAGTATCATTGTTGGTTGTGGTAGACCTATTTCTTAAATTATATGCTTTATCTTCCATAATATCGTATAATAGTGATCAATAATAATAGTTCAATATATGGATGAGGTGTTGTGAATGATATATGGTTATGGATGTGCACACAAGGTTAGTTATTCTTATGCTTAGAATTTAGGTTGTCATAGGCCTATTACATCGAGATAGGTTTGGAAGTTATTTTGTATTGGATAATATCACATAAGCTACTTTTTTGCCACACGTTGCAGGCGCCAATGTAAAGTTCTTTTATCTTTCATTTGGTAAATAAATGTCCAAGGTGATGAATACATATAAACCTTTTATTAGTAAAATTGTACAAATAAGTAGGGTTATAAATTTAGATGAAACTCTTAATCTCAGGGTACTAGGAATGTGCCGGCTTAAAGTAGGCTTATGTGATGTTGTATAGGCATAAGCCTAATGTTCATCACAAGTTATGTACAGTTCAATTTACACTTTTGAATAGAAGAAAGTTCAAATTTTGAATTTAGTAAAATTATAATTTAGGTAAAAGTTCAAAATGGCAAAAGCCAATAGAAATTTTGGAATGTGAGTATTTAGCAAAGTACAAGTTCAGTTTGATCTCACCCAAAAGTTTTGGTAGTCTTCTCCACAAATATATTTCTTGAGGTAAAATGATATGTATTAAATAATTGAGAAAAATCTTGATATTTTAAATACTGTAAAGTTAAATCTATAAGGTAGCCTTATAAGTTAGCCTTGAATAAAGATATTTTTCAAACTTAGAGTTTCAGTTGAGTTATGTTCCTGAAACCAAAGGGGAATGTGTAACTATTTTATAGAACGGAATTCAAAATCTTTTTTTTTTTGCTTCAGTGTCCTCTCCGTTGCGAAGCACGGGTACAACAGCTAGTAACATACTAATTTGACTCAAAACAGATGTTTTTCAAAAATCTGACTTTTTGTTATTTTATGTTTATTTTTAACGGGAAAAAAGAACATATGTTACAATAACTTTCGAACCGTAATCTTTACGGGAATGGGGTTTGTACCATTTTGTACAGAAAAGTACTATCTATTTTTTTTATAAAAATCGCAATTTTTCGTTATTATATGGGGTTTTATGGAAGAATCACCATTAATATACATAAAAATTAAAACTAAGGTTTAATAAAAGTCACGACTGACCATTATGTTTGTCTTTGTTTAAAGATATTTCTCAACAGCTTTGAAATATCGTCCAGTCAATGGTAATACTCTACAAACATGTGTGATAGTGTACTGTCAGTGAAGATAAAACTACATTATTGATGGTATAACTGTCCCTGAATGTCTATTAAAATATTGTAACAGTCATTATCACACCACCTATCATGACTAGACTACTTCACTCGTAAATACACCTGCAAAATGTAGGACAGGTACTTTACCAAAGCCCTGTTATATTGCGGGCTGACTAAGAGACCGGTTTCTCCTTCAACAACAGTAGTAATTGTACGAAATACAATTGCTTGGCTACGTAAAATAATTATTCAATTTTCATATTTATTCCCCGACTATTTATTGTTAGTAAATGGTACTTACTTTCCGTGTCCGGAGATCAGACTTCGCTTTTAAAAAAATTAGCTACCGATGTGGCTTTGTCATTCGCATGTAATATATCATCTAATGTGGAAGACTGGTCTAGGCGTGGGCAGATCAGCAGATGACCAGGATCCTGAACAGCACCACACGCGCACAAGTTGTTTTCTTCGTCTGGTAAAAGACCCAATTTCTGCATGTTTGTCTTGCATTTTGGTACCTCGACCCTAATTCGATTTAGGGTCTTCCACACCGTGTAATGAACGCCTCCACCAGGAGCCAGTTCCTCCCTGGCTGGTATGGGAGGGTTAGTCAACGTGGCCTCCCACCTTGCCAACCGAATGCTTGAGAGTGATCCATGCAGGACTCGTGTCCGTGATAAAAAGCATGTTCTGGACCGAAGCCGTCGCTCTGCAGGTTGGTGGCCGTGTAATGGGTGACAAGGGTCTGTCTCTTGCTTAGTCCTTTCTGCGTCGGCAGCGACATCACGTCGGATTGATAGAGGGGCGATCCCTATGATAGGATAGAGTTTGTATACTGGGGTTGGTTTCAAACACCCAGTTACAATCCGAGCCATGTCATTGACTGCAATGTCAACCTTTTTTGCATGTGACGATGCATTCCATATGGTGCAGCGTACTCCGCAGCCGACACACTGAGCGCTAAAGCTGAGGTTCTGAGGACATTAGGGTTAGCACCTGCTGGTGAGCTTCCTGATGATATTATTCCTCGCTGAGACTTTACCTCTTGTCGCAATACAATGCGCCTTAAATGTCAGTGTGCGGTCCAGTATGACACCAAGATATTTGGGTGTAGGACAATGCTGAAGACGGTCTCCCCGCCAACTCACATTCAACTCACGGCCTGCTTCTCTATTGTTTAGGTGATCAGCATATTTCCATATAACCATATAACCATATAGCATATAACCAGCGGTGTTGGTTGTGTTGCTAGCCTAGTGGTTAGCGTCTCGGACTTCGGTGCGGGAGGGACGGGTTCAATCCCCGGCACATCCACTACGCATTTAACTCTCGTACTCTCTTGTGAAATGCCACTGGCGTTGAAAAAAAAAGGCACAAACCTAGTATGTTTATGTTTAGTATGTTTTAGTATGTTTATAATGGCATGTTTATCTTCTTATATTATATACTAGTTGTGTGCCCGTTCTACGCATGGGGATCTTATACTCGTAGTAGTCAGTTGAAACCATCTTATATAAGAAGAACAGCAGTTGGTTTGCATATTTTCAGATATGCTGGCAAAACTATTATACAGTATACAGTATAAACCTTCGCAAATACAGTATATAACAGTTTCAAGCCAAAACAAATGCTACGCAATTAAATGCAATTAAATAATAGAATTAATATTTTTAAAGAATTTTATGGTCTTTTTGGAATGAGGATGCAATTTTAAGACTTATTTGACTTATTACTCTTCGCATTTTCGCTATAAACCTACTATTTTAGGAGCTACATGATGTAAAATGTACACCGGAAGTCATTTTTCCATAGGCTGTAACTCCTAAACGAGTGGGTTTATCGAAAAAATTTCAGGAATAAAAAAGTTTTTAAATTGCATGTTCTATCCGAAAACATGATAAAATATAGGGTGTTCCGTAAGAAATTTCAAAGTTGGCCGCCATTTTGGAAAATGGCGGCTGAATTTTGAAAAAATAAAATCATATTTTTAACTGCAAAAAAAAATAAAGGAAGGTCCCCGATTTAAAGTTTTCTCTAATTCTTACCGTTTCCGATATCCTAATGGTGGCCTCCTTGAGTTGATCACCATGTACCTTATATACTTCTGTGTACGGAATTAAATTCTCTACATAATTGGTATAACTATTAGTCCAAAAAGTGTTTTGCTTATTTTTACCATGAGCTTACTTTTAAAATTTACAATTTATATATATATATATTGCATTTATAAAAAAAATTATAAAAATGTTTTACCATATTTTTTATATTATTTTCAGATTCTACTTTCACTATAAACTGTAGGTCCCTTAGTTGGCATTAGCTGTATGGGCTATTAATTAACAGCTGTGTCTAAGGAATGTCGGCCTTAGTCACTAACAAGACTACAAGATCGCGCCACTCATCCTACACTCATCTCCATTCTCACTTGGCTTAAAATACCTACTTTGTATGTTCGCCATTTCATAAGAAAGTATTAAAGAAAGTATTACCCATTATAAGGAAGGGATCTTGGCAATTTCCAATGGGATTAAGTATTTGTCAATTTGCTGATGTTTATAATGGCTGTTTTAATCCCCCCCCATTTCCAATTGGCGATGTCTTCACCCAAGAGCCATATTCTTGCTCACATCACAGGAAAACACCCTCATTGAAGATAACAAATTACAAAACCCCTCAAAGTGTAACAATTTTTCGACCATTGAATGAGAAGAGTATAATCAGTAATCAGAGTATAATGAGTAGGTCAGTGTCAGAATCGGATTCTAAACCAAAACCTTACAGTTTTAAAATCTTCTATGAATGTCCTTATCTCTTTCCGATTGGCGATTAGACATCAGGTAGACAATCAGTAAATTTCGTAAGTATCCATAAGTAACTTAACGATGTTAACCATCAGTACTGTACTGTACCGCACAAATACTCCCCCCCCCCTGAAACCAAAGTTTAACTTATTTACCCCGCCATATGATACCATGTAGCCCTCATCCTGATGACTACAGTGAAACAGCTGATCTTTACAAAGCTCATCTACACTCATCTTTCACTCATATTAGAGTTAAAATACGCACCTAGGTGGTGTCTCCATCTCTTGATAATTGATTATAACATTTTGGTTGTGAATTTAGTAGTCTGTTGTTGAAGTGTCTTTTCCCAGCAAACCTGCAGCAAGATTCAATCGCAGAGTGTCAAGTTACAATTACAAAATGAAGTTTGAGCATTTTATCGGATTTTGTGACATAACTTTGGCCAGGAGGGGACCGAGCGCAGCTAACTAGATCAACTGTTGTAGGGTTTCCTACCAACCTCCACTCCACACACTGTCCATACGACCGACACTCGCGCAGGTAAGAGTCAATTATCATCCCAATATAACTTAACTTTGTCCTTCAGGAATCCAAATTCTTTACTGTAAACGTTGATTTGTTCATTCATATTGTAACTGTAAAACTGTTTACTGTTAATTATAAGTATGTAACTCACGAATACTTGAAAATTTTAAATAAAAAGGTTTATTCACAGAAAAATGATATAAAATATACTTAGAATGTTGAGAGGTTATTTGCAAAACAATGGACAGACGCGTAAATGTTCTGAGATTTACAAATTTTAATTGAACTGTAATTTTGTATAGCAGTTTATTGGTATAACAAACGCTAGTTATCAGTTCATTATCATTGATGAGGCATTTAAGGAGTCAGAACTGCAATAATCCATACAAATTATACAAACTTCCTGGGTTTTTAGGTAGTTGCATGCAATACTTACTAACTTACTTAATTGTATACTTGTGATGATCCCACTATAGTAATATTCCAGCCGTGGTCGTCAAATTTATTATTCAGTTATAGGGCCTATTTTTTCTTGTTCTTCTAGTAGGCCTTTTCTTTTTCTTTTCCTTGGGGAGCGAGCTGGTCTTAGTGGTTAGAGCGCTGGACTTCGGTCCCTAAGGTCCCGGGTTCAAATCCCGCAAATCCCCAATGGATTTGTCTAAGTGATAGTGTTGCAACCCCTAGGTTTAGCCTGAAGTAATGTGCAAAACAATCCCGGGCTCGTGCCTAGCGTCTTAGGAAAAAAATGTAGGCCTTTTATAATAAGTAGTTCTTTTCTTGGAAATGGTTTTAACAAATAGTATGCACATTTTGAATGTTTCATAAATCTTCTCTCCTTTTCAAACAAATTTAACCTTAATTTCTTCAGATTTTTCACGTGTCTTTTAACATGATAATTTTATATTTTAAAGATAATCTTTAACTAACTACATTCCTCTTATTTGATTTTGAACAACCTACATTACTTACGGTACGAGGATGATAGCTAAAAATAAACATATAGTGATAAAAGTTGTGGCTAAATCAACAAAGTATGGTTATTAATATTTTTTTTCGAAATTCTAGATATGCACATCAAATGGAAATAGAAAATATTTACACCCATAAATATACACATCGTGTGTGAAATTAAATTGCATTCTGTTCTTTTATATCTCAAACACGGTCGATATTTAAAAATATCATCAATTTATAGTTTTAATATATGTGTGGGAAGTGTCTGTTATATTTTCTGATCGATGTAAGTGCTAATTGACTATCAAAAACAAAATATATCGTCGATCTTGGTCAAATACCTTGCTTTACCCATCGATGTATAATAACTCTGCTGTAACTACCGTAAATAATCGATTTTCAACCAAATAAAGCTAACTCACAAATATTCTTATACTAAGTAAGAATGTACTAATTTAAATAGTTTCGCTATATATGCAAGCATTTATTATACATTACGATTAGGCCTACGTAGGTAAAGTAAATATTATATATAGGCCACTTATTGTATCTTATTCTGAGTTTAGAGAAAATTTTGACTTTACCCTGAATAAATATCAACAGATTCTAAATAAAAGTTAGTAAGAATTGTGTAAGGTATAATTTTTTTTAAGTTGTCAATCCATAGCACTCTATGAGTTATGAATTCAAAACGGTAATTTGTTACCATTAATTTGTAATACCGTACAGCACTATGTTTATATTTTTAACAATACATTCGTCCCATACAAATGACTCAACCTGCCCTACAAGTATTGTTTTGGGGATGTGGTTGCCCTAGCACCTGGCACCTGCTGCCGATGTAAAATCGATGGTCACTCGGTGGAACGGCACGGACGGCACGACATCGAATACGGTAAGTATAGACAGTATAATATAGGCCTATATAGGTGTACCTTACATGAGTGTATCTAGCAGCAGTCAAAGAAGTACGCGAATTGTCCTCAACTTGGTATCAGCTCTATTTCGTAATTTAAAAATATTACATGAAATGCGTGAATTCGGCATGAAGATTAGTGTGATTTTTCATGTTTTAACTGTAGACTATTATTTACTAACAAAAGTGTAAGGTAAAAATAGTCTACGTTAGTATACAAGGTGAGTGACTACTGAATTCATTAATTGTAACAGCTTATTCTACTCATCAAAAGGATAAAAGACATATATAAACCTTGGTCTGACCTTAAACGTTTAGCTGTTATGGCATTATTTGTGATTTTTTTTTATAACATGACTTTGTACTGTTAATTTGACGTTATAAACCAAACCCCATGAAAGATATTAAAACTGGTGGCATTTGAAAGAGTGTCAAGTTTACTACACATTAAACACAATACCAAGGTATTAACTCTTTATAAAATGGTTAGAAAATTAGCTTTAAATGTAAAATTTATTTTTATTAAAATTTTCATTTAAATTGAATGGTGAAAGAAAGTCAGTAAAATTTGTGGTATTCTGATATTCAATTAAATAAAAAATTTCCTTAATTATCTATCTTTAAAATGGTGTATTAACATTAAGGGGTTATGCGAGGAAAAAATACAGCTATTCGTTAAAATCGTGATAATTTGCACAGCATTTGTATTCATGCTAAAATACAAAAACAAATAACTGTATACTCTAATTTAACCAACAGATGAATCAGTTTCCCTAGTCTGCTGATTAGGAATTACTAGGCAATTATTAACTAACTCCTATACCAAAAACAAACAAAATATTCAAATGGTTTCTATTTATAATTTTAATACAATTAGAAAAATCCTCATTAGGTACATTAAGAAAATAAAAACTAGAAAAATACAGTAGCTGGGTTCTTAGCCATCCTTATCATTTAATAAGATTTCCCAAATGTTTACCATAAACACCAATACACATCTTAAGTATTTTCCTGAACTCTCTCACAGTAGCTTTCAAATTCAGCTAATTACTTAATTATTCACATGCTGTTAAAATCCTGCCTCTTAAATCTTTTACGTTTTGAACTGGGGCAGTGTGCACTTTCTGCTTGAGGTACCCTCAAACATATTAGATAAGGGGTGTGAGGTCTGGAGACCGAGGGATCCAAGTGCATCAGATTAACATTGGTATAGATGAACAATATACATATTTTCAATAATTTTGAATATTTTTTTCCTGCAACGAGTAAGCAAAGACTACAACTACCAATCTGCCAATGATAATAAATGTGAAAAAATCCTTGCAATTACAATGAAGGCTCACTTTGAGCTCAATTTACTTACTTTTTGTAACTTTATACCCCTTTGCTTCTAGGGGCCTCTTATCATACCGTTATGAATGTATATGTTGTCAAAATGGCGTGAAATTTTAGTTTAGTCTTCTGTACTGTTCCCCGCAGCGGGGAGCGAGCTGGTCTAGTGGTTAGAGCGCGGGACTCCGGTTGCTGGGGTCCCAGGTTGTAATATTTCATTTCATTCATTCATTATTTAGTATTGAGTTTCTTAAAATGTTAACTTCTGTTCATACGCCTTTGTTATTAATCACTCCTCAGAAAGGCTGGCCTAGTAAATATTCATTTTCCTAATTTATATAATTTCATTAATCTGTTCAATTAATCATTAATAATACTCATTCCATAGCCTTTATATTTTTACTTTCTCCCCCTATACCATAGTATATGGAGAAAGTATTGTTTTCGTCAAAATTTTCGAGTTTGAGTTTTGAGTGGATATATTCGTTTTGGGTCCCCTTGGACCCAAAAAAGTGGTTTTCGAAGTGATGTCTGTGTGTGTGTGTGTTTGTGTCTGGATGTGTACAGAGCTAGAGACTACACCTGTGGTCAGATTTCGATGAAATTTGGTATGTAGGTTCTAATCCATGGTATCTCCAGGCATTTTTTTCAATGTTTTGAAATTTTGATTTTTAAGGGGGATTTTCCCATAAAAACCCATAAAAAAACCGAAAAAATCGAATTTTTTCAAAAATGGACCGAACGATTTTTATAAAAATTTAGTATGTTGTAGCCCTTTAAATTCTGAACAAAATGGTACGAATCCCATTTCTGTAAAAAATACGGTTCAAAAGTTATGGTAAATTATGTTATTTTCCCATAAAAACCCAATAAAATAACGAAAAATAGGATTTTTGAAAAAAATCCGGTTTTATTTTAACATAGTATGTTATGGTCCTTAACGTTTTGATAGTTTTTTCATTTTTAAAAAATTTTAATTTTTAATGGGAATTTTCCCATAAAACCCCATAAAATAACAGAAAAATAGGATTTTCCTAAAAACGGCCCGAACGATTTTGATCAAAAATTTTTATGTTATAGTCCTTTATATTCTGAACAAAATGGTACAAATCCCATTTCTGTAAAAATTATGGTTCAAAAGTTATTGTAAATTATGTTATTTCCCCATAAAAACCCCATAAAATAACGGAAAAATCAGATTTTCACAAAAATGGCCCGAACGATTTTGAAAAAAATTAGTATGTAGTCCTTTAAATTCCGAACAAAATCGTACAAATTACATTTCCGTACATTTACTTTCACCGCTTACACATGATAAAGGTTGTTGACAAACTTATGGGAGAAAGTATGTGTCAGAATGCTGATACCGTTTATTTTTACAAAGCCCACAACCTAATTATTTATTAAATATGTAAGGGAATTGCAATACATCAAATTTTTTTATAATTACATTTCAAAATAAAGTCCTTAAGGAATCAAAATTCAAGAAGCAGTGAAAGTGATCCATGTGTTCAACAATGAATTATGTGAACATTGAGATTGGGAGAAGAAGGAAGCCATAGTGGAAGTTGAAACTGTTAGTTAAAAGAAGGATTCCAGATTTTATCTAAATTAAATTAATTAATATCATCAAGAAAACCAGTTTATATCAAGTTTTATCACAGTAAACCTCAAGAGGACTCAACTCCATCATTGTTATCTTCAAAATTAAGTATAAACTTTTTTTTAAACTCTTTTAAATTCAGTGCTATTGGACTTACCTTTTGGACAACATCAAAATTAGATTTTTTCATTTTTTGGATTTTGTAAGTTTAACACCTTAATTAGGCCTATTTGGACACTATTAAATTTATTAATTCTTCGCATTCAAGCCAGCACGACACCCTACCCTGAGATATATCACATCTAAATTATTTGAACCTTTATTTCAAACTTATCTTTTATTTCATTTTAATTTCAACCCCCACACACCATTGTCAGTCCTTTCATTATAACGTTAAGCCTTTTAAATTTCATTGCATGTTTGTTCATTCGTTTCAATATAACACCTTTTGTAATTCATATATCTTTATTATCTTATTAACTTTAAACTTTTATAGAATAAGCCTATCCTAAAATGAAAATTGTGAGGTGAGTTTACAAATTGGTGCACCAACGTGTTGGCTTGAATAGCTCATTAACTTTATTGCAATTCTCACCATAACTAGCCTATAAGTTTGTTAGATTTAAGAGTTTGCATTGTTAACTTGTCCCGTAATTGTCCCTGTTTCCCAAAATAATCAACACAACAACATCACATATTTAATAATCACGCATGACCTAACGAACTTTACATTAAAATGTCGGAAAATAAATAATTTACGGCCTAAACTACAGCACAATTAAACACAACAAAATAAATCAAAAACGGATAGGCCTACAGTACATAAATTGTAAAAACATTATTTCTCTTATAGATATTCTGTAAATTATGTTATTCACTCCAATATTTTGTTATGGGAGTTTCAGGCAAATATAAACATGGTAAGCCTACACATAGTTTTCATAGTTATAATGTGTAGGCTATGTATAAGGCATGATTTATCGACCTGAGATCTTAATGTTTCAGACGATGAAGATTCCAGTACAGCTCTGTGTTGTATTATTGCTGATAACTATTACTGCAGCCTCGCCTACCTGTCACACCCCCCTAGCAGTATACCACATACCAGGGACCATCCATCTTGCTGGTAAACACAATATTATTTAAACACAAATTATAAAAATATCTGCAGGACCTGCCTATTTGATCAGTTTTCTGTATTGTATCGTTCTTCTTGAAGATGATGTACGTAGGGTGGTCATAATTACTGTACACATTTTAAGATTAAATAAATAAATAACCAAGCAAATTAGAAACATGGGAGTTATTTCATTAAATGGAAATTTTAAAGAAGTTTGTATACAGTTACGGAAAAAATAAAAATGTCAGTAATTATTATAAATACCCTCACCGCAGCAAACCTGCAGACTAAGTGAATTTCCATTTACCTGTCTAGATTTCTACTAAAATATTTCCAAAAAGTTCTTAGATTTATTTCTTATTTAATTAACATTTATTTGAATGAATTAATTCTTTATTATTTCAGTACAAATAATCAGTACAATGGTACAAAAAACGAACTATAAAATAGAATCCCCAAATGGGCTATAAAACTGTGGTTGGGGATTGAGTCCATCTTCCGTACAATAAACAATAAATTCAGGCTACATTTAAAAAGGAAAATAAGATATACAAGTGGCTTGTAGGGACATAAGTCCCTAAAGCACTCAAATGCAAACAAATTATTGTAAGAATTATATTATCTATGTGTCAGAATAGATATCCCGGTACACCATATCTTTTGTGTAATGATGAATAATAACGGGAATAATAATAACGGGAATAATAATGATAAAAATGCTTCCCTGATTGAATTTTGGAAATCGTCTTCGTCAAATATGGAAAGGCAAATAAAGGCGTGTTCAGATAAGCTTAGTTCTTGGTCAAACCCGCTAAAGCATCCCGACCCAGTTATTATGTCTAAGTTCAGACTCCTTTTGTAAAGGTTTAACAAAATTAGTGTAAAGTAAAGGCACCCCATTGACCAAACCTAACCATAGATTTGTTTCTGATCAATATAAAAAAAAAACTAAAATTAGTGTAAGTTTATGTGGTGGTATTACTCATAAAGGTGCGATTGGCCATATTGAAACATACTCAGGCCTAATCATCGGCTGATTCCTAAATCTTTTGCGACTGCTTAGGGTTCCATTACTCAGTTATCGAAACCATTAGGCCTAACGAAATTACTTTTCATCAGCATTGACTTTCATATTTTGGTTAGTTTGAGAAACGTAAAGAAATGGAAACTTTCCCTAGGTTTTAATGTTATACGGATGCTCCTCTACTATTTATACTGTACATGCTAGGCTATCCTTATATATAATACGTGAAGGCGATTTCTACGAAACACTACTCCAGCGTTAATAATGGATGGATTTTTACAAACGACGTGTCAAAATAAAGTAGTATAGATGCTTGAAATAGATTTAACATATTAAAAACTAAATACCCCCGCCGCAGCAAACCTGCCGACTAAGCGAATTTCCATTTGTCTGAATTGATTTTCAGTTAAATATATTTTAATAACATTAGGTTTAACGAGTACCTAGGTTTGCTGCTACAAGGAAACTAATAAAGTGTGTTTTTGAGTAAAATATTGATAGCTTAGTAAAAAATAAATAAATTTGCCAAGTTTGATCAAAATATATCCATAAACAAGCAAACTACAACATTTGACAATATTCTCCATAAGAATAACATGGGAATTTTAAATTTAAAATTTTTTAATTTTCTCCGTAACTAATAATCGAACAAAAATACTTTTATATACTAAATTATTTGTTTTTTAAGCTCTTTAAAAAGGTTTAAAGAGAAATCGGGAAATTTTGTGTTGAGGTTCAAAAGTGAGAAAACCCAATTTTTAACCCATAAAACCCCCCGTAAAGCCCCGTTCCCATGGTCCGATCGTGCTGGTTCGCGAACTCATTCAAGTTTATCCCGCTTTACACCTTTAAACCAAATTTCATCAAAATCGGACAAAAATTACTCAAGTTATCGCGTTCACGGACGTATATATATATACTAGCTGTTGTACCCGTGCTTTGCAACGGGAAGAGGACACAAAATAAAAACATTTTAATCTTTATCTCTTGCATATAGGTAATAGTTACACATCCACCAACGCTTTTAGAAACAAAATTTAACTTTTATGGCCTTGATAGAAACGTTTAAGTCATGTCTTTTAAATCTGGTAAGTAGTGGATACCACCATTTTGGTTTTGATTAATTTTAAATCTTGTGTAGGCTGATATGAGAAAAACTGACCAAATCTTCGAGTAAAACTTTGACATACATAATTTACCAGATTTACCTTTATCTCCCTTAATTACACATTTTTAAATTTATTATTGACATTTTAAATTTCAATTTTGAATTTGCAAAAGTACTAATTATTAAATTTAAATATCTTTATATTAAACTCTTCTTTATATTAAATCACAAATCCTTTCATCTTCAGTTTTTTCACTCACAATAAATCATTAGCAAAACTAAGTCAGCTGTTATAAACTTTAGAAATATTGCTGTGCCTTATCAATACAGTCTTTTGAAATATTAAAGAAACTATATCTATAGGTACTATAAACAATTTCAAACAAATAATTTAGAATTAAAGACAGCAGACAAAACTAATATGATTATCAAAGCATCAAGGACTAAAAAATTTTATAGCAAATACAGTATATGTTCCATTGCATCTCTGATTCTACTATACAAAAATATCAACAAACAACTTAATATACAAACCAGTTCTTTTAATCAGTTCCATCGTCCATTGCCTTTACATTTTCACACTTACCATTAAGAAAACATAGTAACAGATATTTCATTGATTTTAGAAACAAAAGAACACTGTGTACTGCTTAGTTTTATGATATTTTCCTTGGTTTAATTTAATCAGTGGTGTGGCAAAACACAAATAATAAATGTATCAAATAAAGTAAATGTGAACTGAAAGCTATGTTAAGATAAAATAAGAGTATTTTGTATTACCATTTGATAATTAAATATAGTTACACATATACAACAGATTTTAGAAAACAAAAATCAACGACAATTTAGTTATTGATGATATTCTTTAGTTTAATCTAAGCATAGGCTTAGCAAAACACAATAACTTAATTTACCTAAATATACATATAAAAAACAATGTGATGTGCAAGTTATGTTAATTTAATCTAACACATGTGAAGCAGTTAGAATTTATTTAAAGTAGCCTCCAAATTCATACAAAACATCTATACATTGTAATTTTCATACTGTTTCCATGAAAACATATCAATAACATTATTTTCACTTAAGCTTTAAAAAATCCAAAGCAGAACCAGAGTTGATACAGCAACGGCTATAAAATCTTTTTTTTCTATAATCATTGACATAGTTTTAGAATAAATAATCCATGATAAAAGGTTAGATTAAAATAAACCTACCTCATATTTATGGAAAATATTATATTTAATTTCTTTGTATCAGCTGTCTGAAATTGTGAAATATGCAGTTTAGCAGTTCTTCTTGTTTACATTTAAATGCTAAAGCAAATGTAAACAAACATTGTTAGTGTTCTCATCACAGCCATGGAGACCAATCAATATTTACTTTTAAAATGTTCACCTCAGAACTTTTAAGGCCAAAGGGGCAAAGCCTACGGTTAGTATCGAAATGTGAACAGTCCTATAATGGTCCTTGGTATGGTAACTATATTTTTGTAAAATTTTAGCCCAGTTGGTTCAGTAGTTCTTGCACCTATTAGTAATACACATACAGACAGACACCATTACATTTTGAATATAAGCGAGCATTTTGAATAGTATAGATATACAGGGTGTTGAAAATGTCTGGAACCAACATTATATCTGGTGAGTGGTTAAAGAAAAACAACTGATATTTTGTGTACGGATAAACTATGGTTTTACCTATCTTTTGGTGCCTTATGAAATTTTTTACCACTTATAGGGAACGTCCTGTGGAGGATGCAGTAAAAAGTTTTAATTGAAGCCTATGATAAATGATACATCATTTTAAAGGCCATTTTTTTTAGTAAGGAGCCACAAGTTTCATCTCAAAAGGACCACCCTAGCAAAAATGGCGACTGTTTGAAATTTAAAAACCCACTTATAGGGAACGTCCTGTGGAGGATGCAGTAAAAAGTTTTAATGGAAGCCTATGGTAAATTATACGTCATTTTAAAGGTCATTTTTTTCTGAGTAAGGAGCCACTAGTTTCATCTCAAAAGGACCACCCTAGCAAAAATGGCGACTGTTTGAAATTTAAAAACATTGCTATTTAAATGGTCTGGATTTGTTTCCTTTAAATGCTATTACAAGCCAGTTACGAAGTACAGTAGTATATCACGTGGTGAACTGAAAAATGACTTTTAAAGTGTCGAATAAGATTTAAAATTCTAATTATTAAATTTTTATGTAGAAAACAGATAAATAAAACAATGACTTACAGATTTGTAAATGAAGTATGGAAATTCCAGTTCCAAAGTGTTTATACAAAATTATAGCAAATGTTCAAAAGGTTTTCCTTCCACAGTCTGACAATGTGAACTTCGAGTGTAGAAATCTGATACAGCATTGTGAAAAGCTTCTTCAGAAATTTTGCGTGTTTCCTCCATAATTCGCTGCCTCAGATCATCTAAGTCACGTGGTTGTGTTTTGTAAACATTATCTTTCAAATGCCCTTAAAAGAAATAGTCTAGTGGGGACAAATCAGGAGATCTTGGAGGCCATTCAACTGCTCCCCTTCGACCAATCCATTGTTGAGGGAATTTTTCATTCAAGTACTGTCGTACTTGTATTCCATAGTGAGGAGGTGCTTCGTCCTGCTGAAACCAGACGGTAGGCAGGTTTTGGCAATAGTCCGTTCTCCTATCAAAATCATCTTCATTTAGTTCTTGTAATAAATGGATTTTATATGGCTTAAAATTGTTATTCTTCAAAACATTGCGCACTGAAGTAAAATCTAAATCCTGCTCTTGGGCTACCTTTCTGAGGGAAGTATGTGGATTTTCTACAAAACTCTGCAAGGTATCCAGGGAATGTTCGTCGTCTGTCACACTTTTTGGTCTTCCAGATTTTGAAC